GTTCCGGGCATGTCCCACTGGGAGGAGGCCCTGGGGAAGACCCAGGACATGCTGGAGGGACTATGTCTCTTGGCTGGCCTGGGAACGCCTTGGCATCCCCCCGGAGGAGCTGGAGGAAGTGTCTGGAGAAAGGGAGGTCTGGGCATCTTTGCTTAGACTGCTGCCCCCACGACCCGGTTCCAGATAAGCGGAGGAAAATGGATGGATGGAAGTTAGAAATAACATTAGTTAGCAGGCATTGTTAGGGCTAGCTTCCCAGACATTGTTTATAGTTATGCAGTGCAGTATATGGACATTACATACACTAGAGTTCTATGATGGATGTTAGCAGCAGCTAGGTAGCTAGGTGGAAAGTTATTGTTCAGTGTGATCAACTACCAGAATTTTACATTAATGTTGCTTCCACATCATATTATTTAAACTTATAAGCAGTTGATTTGGGAAAAACTCACATCAGCCTCTAACTTCTAAATTCTTGGTGAAAAGAATTACAAACAGCCAGAAAGGCTATAAATGCACCATCTCCGGTGGAACTGATTCAGGTAATGTAATGGAAGCTATACACTTGTTTGTTTATCTGGTTTCATTTAGTAATGATCTGTGACAACACATAACACAACAAAAGAGGCTAATTTAGGCTATATATCTGGTGTGACTTCAAAGTTAGAAGTAGAGCTAACTACCTGGGAATGTTGCATGAACACTGAATAAGCAGTGTTCTTGTTCTTCCCGTTTTCCCAACACAATGAATGCAGCCTTAGTACAGTAGTGAAAGCATTGTAGCTGGCAAGCCAGTGCTAGCTTATTGTTACCTAGCTGACGCTGGTTTAAAGATTATTTATCTGCTTGGCAAGGAAAAGAAAATAAAAGCCCTTTGCCTTTTAACCAACTGATTTGAAGAAAATAAAAGAAATGAAATCTTTCGGCTCCTTCATACACTCCACTGTAATCATGTAACTACCTATATTATTTATTGATCAACTGATTCTGTTAACAATATATATTTGACTTGTCTGATAACCTTTTAATACAATTTGTCAGTTTGAGGGCTTGGTGCAAAAATGGTTTTTGGCTTATTTTTGTCCTTGGATTTCTTGCATCAAATTAATGACTGGGCAACAGCCTCACATTGCTCCAGAGATTTGTTGATCATGTTTATTATTATTACTCAGTCTGAGATAGTTCCAAGTAGGTAGAAAAGCTTCCTCTTGGTCTCCTTAATCATGGCTCATTCTCTTGAAACAAATTTTCATGCCACGCCAAGGGAATTTCTGTGGCGCTCGCAATGCTTTGTGTGAAAACTACTTTAGATGATTGCTCGCTAAAATTGAACACAAGTCTCCAGCATGTAGACAAAATACATGGAAACTTTCAATAGCCCAAAATGAGCTCATGGGGAATTCAGTTCTCTTCATGAACATTAATATACTTGCTGGTTTTAGGAACATTTAAGAAATCTCAGTGGTAAATAGCATAATCACAATGAGGAATTGTAACGTATAAAGAAAGTCTGTGGTAATACAGTTGGCTAGTGTGTCAAACAGAAGAGGAACTATGCCTGACCACTGACTTTTGTTTTTACGCTTGTCTGCAGTGAACCAATCACAGAGGAGGGAGAGGGAGAGACCGAGCATCTGCCCAGTGAAGATGGTGAGTACATGCATAGATGATACATACAGTACAACATACACAAATCAAAGACACTGGACACAATGTATGCATCACTCATCATACTTGACAGGAAAGGACAAAAAACAATCCACTTTTAGATTCTGAATGACCATCCACATCGTGATTCATAAGCATACATAAATCATAAGGTTTCTAAATAGGATACATTTAAAAAGGTACATTTGAGTTGATAATCATGCAGTGCTGTGTGCATGTGTTTGCAGAGTGGGAGGCAGTGGCTATGTTTGACTATGTGGCAAGATCTCCAGCAGAACTGTCATTCAAGCAGGGAGAGCTTCTCATCCTTCACAATAAAGCCTCCTGTGATTGGTGGAGAGGTGAAGTGGGAGGGGTTAAGGGTCTTATCCCTCACAAATACATCACCGTGCTGGATGGGTGAGTGACATTTCTATGTCTGTCAAGCATTCAGAACCATGAACTACCTTATTGCATCTTTAAATAGATCTTGAAAGCCTCTTTTCTGGTTCTGCACATTAAATTTTATTTTGGTCTTAGCTGCCACAGCTTGCTGTTTGCTTCCCAGCTGTTTTTGGGCACCAGATTGCTTCTATTTACCACCAAGGACAATATAATTGAAGCTAAATTTCAGGCAGCTTGGGGAGAGAAAAGTTTGTAAGAACCAAGAATCACAAAAGTATTCAAAAATATTTTATTTATTTACTTATCACTCATTTATATACAGTAAATATTTCATTTCCATGACCTAACCTCCATAACCTATTTTTAGGCATAGCTAAAAGTCAAAATTAAGTATGAATATCTTAATGCTTTGTATAGACATTTACATGATAACACCTTGGACCATAGTTTGCTTTCTTTCTTTTCTCTGCCATTAAATATAATGGTACTGCTAGGAGACAGTTAACTTAGCTTAGGAGCGGAAGCAGAGGAAACAGCTAGCCTTGCTAGCCATCTACCAGCAACTCTAAAGCTCCCTAACACATTCAGCTACTGAAGTGTACATCTGACAGTTTGTGAATTTATGTGGGGTACATTGGCGTGACTTCCAGGAGCTTTGTTGTTACCATGAGGTTGTCACTGCTCTGGGCCAGGAAATCTGCCATATAACTGCTATAACATTAAAGTGTCCATGGCATGCTCATTTTGTTCATTTCCAGTCTTTGAATGTTTAATTTCGGTACCTCTAGATTAGCTTTGCACCCATCATAACTCCAAGCAGTTTGTAATTATTTCACAATGATAATGTTTTAAGTACTCTGTTTGTATTCCTATTTATCTCATTCCAATGAACATTCCTTGTTTGTCTGCTTTGTTTACTGCCTGTTTATACTGCTTATTTTGCATTGTTTGCACTGTTTGTTGCTGTTAGTACTGCTTATTTTGTTATATTACACAGCCTTATGCTGGTTTACTGTTTGCTTGCCCCTTGCATGGGGATATGTACATGCACATTGAGAGCCGATGTACTAGAGTCAAATTCCTCGTGTGTCCGAAACACCTGGCCAGTAAAGCTGATTCTGATTCTGATAAAGTCAGAGAGCGTCTCCCTAAAAATGAGATGATAATTTGTGAACAACTGCCTGGAGATTATGCCGATTCCAAGAAATCCTTAAACTATAACGTAAGACTTTATTTTGTTAGAAAAATGTCTCGTGAGCAAGAGTTTGCAAGACATGTATAAACCAGTGCTTCTACACAAGTACTAGAACATACGTACATCTCATTTTATGAACTTTGTCATGTCTAAGATGATAATTCACCATCATAACATTGTAGCTAAGTCAGAAAACAAGGAAAAGCATGCCATAAGCCCTTTAAAAGTGCAGTTTTCACACTTTGATGCTGATAAAATGTGCATTATATACTGTTTTACTTAATAAGCCAATCTTTTATATTTATTTATTTGTGTGCTGCTTTTACCTTTGTACAGACATAGTCATTACCCTTGATTTCAGGTTAATTACTTCCTGGCTCTAACTTTATATTTAGGGTGCAGACATGAGAGTGGTAGTAATCTTCTCATCTAACTCTCAAGTAAGAAGATGAAGAAACATATCGCAAATATGTTAAAAAAAGCAATAAGTATTAAAATAATTTATATTAAATCACTGTTAAACATATCGTTTTGTAGTAAGCAATATTTCTGCCAGGCTATTTAAACATTCTTTAGTGTTTTCAGGTTCATAGCAGTTAGAAATAGCAGCTATTGGAGCATGCAGTGGCAAACTGGACTATAAAAAGTGCCATGTCTCAGGTCTGAGAGGCCTGAGAACAAAACCAAGCCCCAAAGATACCGTATGTGTGTGTGTACCATGAAAAAAACAAGTTACACTAAAACAGAAATGGGTTTAGGGAACCAGGGAATCAGAGGAAAGTATTTTACATCAGTGTTATTTTCTGTACTTGTGTATCTTAGGCATATTGCCTCATAACTATCCACAGTTATCTCTGGCTATTGTAATTTGTATAGTAGAGTATTTGTTTGTAGTTGTACAAACAGTATAAACAGGAGTGGACAAAATAACAAAAAAGCCTTATAATATCTTATAATTAAGCACCACTAGACACCATGACCTCAAAAATTGCCATAAGACTTAAATAATATCAACACTGCTTCATCTGGATATCTGCCTCATTTTATTGTGAAAAGAGTCCAAAAAATAAAATTATTAAAAACACACTTATTTTTCCTTCTGCTTCTGCTCCCTCCTGCAATTATTTTGTCACTCAGTCTTTATCCCATATTTAAACTTGCACTGGTTGTACTTTCTGTAGTGAAATAAATGCTTAATATATCTGTCTTCCTCTCCTCCCTCAGGTCAGAGAGAGGGAAAAGAGAAGAAGGAGGAGGAGGAGGAGGAGGCAGCACTGGAAACCTGGCAGTAGAAGACCCGCAGATAGAGAACACAACTCGGTACACACACATACATGCACACACTTGAATGCACACTGCAAAATACAATACGAATGCATTCATTCCAACAAACACATGTAGCAATAGATGCAGACAGTAAACTACACCAGCGCATGCAGTCAAAAATACTTACTTCCACATTATTGCACACAGCTTCTTACACATATAAACACACTCCTGAATGCACTCAACACAAAGTTACAAAGTTTCTGTGTATGTCCTGACAGGATGCGAGTGAACAGCGACAGTGCTTCGTTGCCTGGGAGACAGAGAGGAAGTGAGGGTAGCCCCAGTCGAAAGCCGCTGACCTCCTCTGCCACACGACACCTGTCAGTGTAAGATTCACACACATCTCAGACACAGTGTTCATGTGCTGTATAGCCTATGAAGTAGTATAGGTGCTGTGGATATGTTAACAGTGGATCCTATGATAATGTGTGTGTGAAATGGATCACTTGTGGTGATGAAACCAATACTGTTATCACCTGATTCTGCAGTTCTGTTCATCTCTTTTCAGGTGTTTAGTGTCTTTCAGCATATTCATATTGTTTTGGTTTTACAGCCCACAAATTTATTGTTTTGGTTCACTCTCACTACTCTCACCTGTGTCATTCTCAGTGATAAAGGTGCAAAAATCCACCGTACACTGCCCACCCAGCAACAAGCAACAGAGAGATAAAGTTAGCAGTTGGTGAAATAAGTGGAGCACGTAGCAGATAAATAGACTAAATGTGTGAAGACCAAACCAGATCTTAAAGGACAATGAAGGCAGAAGCATGACTCCAAAATGAATGCTAACGTTGCTCTGTCTGCACCAGTTTGCTAGCATGTTCACTTTATTACCTTTGCTAGATATAACACAGTATCAGTGTTGTGTTCACAGCCTGCTTCCACTCTCCCCACATGACCGACGCTCATTTATGGAAGGTTTAAAATTAAAGTGTGTCGCTGACATACCAGCTTATTAAAGGCACCCTTATAATTAGTCATGTACACAGCATCAGCGTAGTCTGTGATGATTTTGGCAAGTGTCAGTTTGTCCTATGAAAGAGGAATAATTGCATTAAAAAGAGTCTATTCTACCTTTAAATTTTGGCTGAAATTTGGAGAGTTGCCATAATTTTATTTGATGTGAATGATCAAATTCCCAATTTTCATCTTTGTCTAGTGTGAGAAGATGGAGAAAAGCCTAAATATGAAACCAGGTTTAGATCAAACTTTAGAAATCAGCATCCATCTATATTTACTAGTCCTCAGTTATATTTAGTGTCTGTAACCTTCTAACTGTTTTTCAGATCTCAAGAGAGAAGACACACTTTGGATACTGTGAGACAGGACAGCCTCAGACCCACAGACAGACCTCCATTTGGTCAGGCAGACAAAACAGCAGTTGACAAGGTCAGCAGTGTATCTTATTCAAATTTTTCTTCTAAGTCAAATATTGTGAATCCTGTAGCTCATGGCATATTGTTAGTTCTGCTGACCTACATGCTGTATTTGGAATTCATTAGACTCAGTTGCATTCTGTAATTTTCTGGTTAGTAACTACATATTTTGTAACACATTAATGCCATGTTCTAAAAATCAGGTTTACCGAGTTTTCAATATAACCTTGCTGAATAAAAAACCAGAAGATAGGTCGATCTAAAGGACTGTTCCTCAGAACAGGTCCCTGATATGATGTTTAGATGATATTATAAACTAACTTTTAAATCTGATAAATTGACACTGAAGCCCTGTTTAAGCACATCTGACTTGCACACACCCCGCAGCTTAGGTCAACCTTACTTGATAAGCTAATTTGCTGAATTAACCTGCTTGCTAAATAGCGAGTTAACCGTCTCAGAAATCATCCCTTTGTTCTGGTTAAATGTGCTGACATTAGTGAAACTACATCCTGCAGTGCTGAATGTCAAGATCTAAAGATCTTTCATGCAATAATTTCAGATTCAAAGGCAATGTGTGTAATCTTTCTTCTCTTTTTTTCTGAATAATCTATGTACAATCAGTTTTCTACTTACAGCAGCTTTGCTATATTTGTAATATGTTACAAAGAAACTTGCACACTAGAAAAATATAGCCCTTGCCTCTGCCGAAATCAGGTGGGGAAGTGTGAAAGGTTGGGGCACTAAGCTGAAAGACACTCAAGCTCCAGTACTACAGTACTGTGCAATTCATTTGGCCTAATTTTCACAACAGAGTTTCAACTTACAACAGAGTTCAATAATTTATATCAAATTAGGTAATACATTATGCAGTAGGTTTATCAGAGCATTGCAGCATTGTATGTTTATCATGACATTTTGTTCAGCTGTTTTGTTGCAAGTTAATAAAATTCACATTATCAAATAATGCTGTCAGACTGCAACAAAATCTCATCAAATATAAAGTCTGCAGCTGTCATTTCGTCCTGACTTTTTAAGTAGATTCAGTGATCTGAATGTTGAAACGTTTTAATGTGAGGAGAATTTGTGATGTTTTTCACTTTGAATGTAAATTCAGCATTTTGTGTTCCAAGATAAGGGTTTGGCCACTTGCATTAGGGGTCGCCACAGCGATCATCACACTAGCCACTCGCATGTTGACATTTGGCACGTGTTGGACAGGTCCCTTGTTGAGTGGGAGGTATTATCAGGGTCAGGCTGCTTCACTGAACAAGGATCACAGAGGCTATATTTTTGTTCACCTTCTGTGTTTGCTTCTGCTCTTGCTCCTTCAGGAGATGATCAGCCGTCAAATGAACTCAGTGTTCAAGGAGCTCCTGTCACGTCAGCCTCCTCTCCAGCCATCTGCCCTCACCACCCCTGCCACCCCTGCTCCCTCTTCCTCCGCCTCCTCTTCTTCTCTTCCTCAAACTGCCCCTGCTGCCAAAAAAGTAGGCTTTGGCCTCAGAGGACGGGCCCTTTGGAATAGCTGATTTATTGTTGATGATGATGATGATTATGCTGATGACGATGGTGCATTTGGTGAAGATCTTGATTTATTTTTTGACATTTGTATAATATTTGCGTCTGCCATCTCATAGTTCCACTAGTCTCAGTGCCGTGTTACTGTACTTCTAATGTGTCTGTTTTCCAGCTGATTTTGGTATTTTTATTTTCTGATATGTTTTTATTCTCCAGGTTTTTGCAATTTTTTGAGAATCAGGGATGTGACATCACCAGTGATATTACCAGACTGACAGTTTGAAGTGTTTTGTTATGATACTTGCTTTAAAAACAGCAAAAGATTTAAGCTGCCCTCTAGTGGCAGGGCTGAGATCAGCTTTAAAATGTTGTCTTATTTTAAATATCAAAACTGATCTGGGGCCTGTGTCTAGGAGTGCCTTCACATCTTTTACTCTTCACATTTATTTCACTTGAAAAGATCTGACAGGTTTCAACTCTGCATATAATGTTTAAGATAGAGTCCAGGAAGATGTTTATAGAGCCCTAAAGCATTCCAACTTAAATCCATAACAAATACATTAAATTTAAAAAATTGTGTAAAATATTTGAAAGAACCAACAATTTGTGAGCAAAGATAAAGACTATATGTAATTTTATCTTTGCAGAGCTGTGCTTTTCTCACCTTTAGAATCAAAAGATGGAAAAAGTAACTTTGAGTTAACTATTAGCTACTGCCATAACACTGGCTCTTCACCTGGATTGTGTGTAGTTGTCAGGCTCATGACAAAGGAAAAGGAAATGTTAGTTTCTCTTCACTGTGTGTATTTACAGTCACAGCTTCGGAATACTTTATTAACAATATCTTTTTGTTGTTGTTTTTTTTTGTTGTTCTAGCTAATATGAACTAACAGGCTAAATCTGGTAGCGGTTGATGAATTTACAAGCTTAACAGGCTGAGAGCATGTAACTGGTTAGGAGAGGGTGGTGACTACACCTTTGCAGTGACATTAAAAAGTATTACAATGTTACTGGGAAAATACATGTATAAAATGCAAAGAGACATGAAAATCAAATTGTGAAATCAAATGAAGGCCTATAAAAAGTTATGAAAATACAAAGGATGAAATAATATTTCATAATAATGACCTGAGTTTCAATCTTTTTAATTTGTTATGAAATTATAATATTATTGCTGTTCATATATTTTACACAATTTATTGAAGTGACTATGTACACTACCAGTCAAAGTTTGGACTATGGATGTGGCTTGGGCACACCCATTCAAATGAATGGGAACTTGTGCCACACCTTTGATTGGCAGGGTATTTCACAATGCTATTCATTCATATCACGACAAACACCATGGGGCACCATAAATGTAAGCTAAGAAAACTACGCAGTGAACTCAATATCTTTTAGCAGTATGCAGTGTAGGAGCGCACACACAGATGGAAAACACATTCCCCTTTGTATGTGATACATGGCCTTCTGCACAGGCCAAATCTCAGGGCTTTTGCAGAGTTAGACACAGGCCACCTCAGGTTTGGTTTCAAAGGAATAAGTAAGAGCTTTTTCACTCAGGGCTTTGGTTGACTTATAAATGGACTCAGCTGGAAACTGTGCCCTAGCCTCAATAGCCAAAATGATCCATATCAGAGAGGATTTAGTGACATCCTCTGGTTAAACTGTGAATGCAATGGTGACATTTTGGCCCCACTCTCAAAACTTTTTTCACATTCATCCATACATTTTGGACCCCTAAGAAATCCAGCACCATCCACAAGTCCCATTCAAATGTATGAAGAGAAAAATTACTTTGACTCCAAAAGCATTTGAACTCTTTTTACATAGGACATCTCTCTTCTGTTGTGTTTCAGTATCAGAAACATAGAAGCAGAATCATATTTTTATATTGATTCCGCTCCTATGATTAATACACCCTGTTATTCTGAATCATTGTTTGATGATGTCACTAAATTTATTGTGTCCAGTTGTATATGTGGTAAACAAAAAATGAATACAATAAAGATGAAATAAATGATGAATGTTTAAGTGGTTGGCATTGTTTATAAACTGTTTAAGTGACTGTATTTGAGGGGCAGATCTTCAGGGGGACATGAGGGGGTAGCTGTCACACCTACTTTGGGGTTTACCACTGAAGCTCTCCAGCTCCTAAAACTGTAATTGTACATTAGTGCAATATTCAGTCATCATTGTGTTCCTAAGTTGTCTAGAGCAGTGAAATATGCACTGATTTGCTCAGTGAATCAGCCCAAAATGCTGCTAAGTCTGGAGGTGAAAATGCAAGTAAAAATTCAACATTCAGGATCTTGAATTTACACTTGTTTGCTGAATTATTGGTGTGTGTGTGTGTGTGTTTCATTGTTTCAGTTTCTGTTAAGACAGCACCCCAGGCCTGTAATGTGATCATTTAGAGACCCATCCACTCATCCTCCTAAAATAATCCCTTCTAAGGCCAACCCAACACATACACAAGGAGAAATACACACTGCGCCACATTAGCACTTCTGCTTCTTTAAGCCAGTGTCAAACACTTCTCTGTGTGTGTGTGCGTGTGCCTGTATGAGTTTTCATATTCCAGATCAGTTCTGAGGGACTTTGTGATCAAGCAATTGAACTGATCACACTGACAATTTAAATTAACACTATCAGCAGGGTTTCTCTACAAGGGTTTCTGACAATCATAAAGGATTACAGCGGCATTTTAAGTGAGGTAAGTGAGTCATGATTCATCATTTCTACTGCTGCTATCCCGGTTGTGGATCTGCTACTCTGATTTAAGTTACAGTTACATTTTATCACCTTGCAGCACCAGTTTCATGTATATCACATATCTGATACATGTAAGCTGATGCAAGATTTTTAAAGAAAAGTCCCAGCAAAACTAAAAATTTAATTATTAATTGTTCTATTTCTTCTAGAAAAACAAATAAAAACATTTGCATAACATTTAACTATAATGTATGTGTTTTATTTTTGAAATTGAATTTTAAAATTAACAGCTGCTATTTACAGATTTTGGTATGGCTTCTTTTTGGGGAGCTAAAGAACAGGTGGTAGAATCAGTGCTCAGCTCGCTGTCACACTCTGCTTGCCTGAAATCTGCTGCAGAAGTGTATCTCTGAGTGTGCACTGGTTTTACTGTATAAATGTTACAAATTTATTTGATTGTCTGTTCATCTGTCTTAATGTATGTGAAAAGAAATGTGCTTCTTCCTGCAGCGAAGATGATGATGGTGAGCGATGACTATCTGGTGGAGTGTAAGATCAATGATGACAGTGATGAAAACAGTGGAGGAGGAGAACCAATAGACATTCCTCCTCCTCCTCCAGAGTTTGCATCCAAAGCCCCAACTCCTGTGTCCATTACGCCAACTCCTCCCACAGCCTCTGCTATGCCAACACTCAGCAATACTGTCAACAGGGACCCTTATGGCATCAACAAGCACCTAAAGGTCCTCATTCCCTTTTCTCCCCATTATGACTATACAGGTACAAAGAATTTCACAGACTACTTGTGTGATTATTACTGGTTAAGCAGAGTTGTAATGGTCCTTCTACATTTTCACTACACCCATCCTATCCTAAATTGAATGAGTCAGGCATAAGGTTTTTGAGAATGTATACTCTGAAAATCATACAATTTTACTTTTCTTCAAGCTCTCAGCTATGTCTCAGATGTGTGGCAAGCATTCAGGGTAAGGCCTTAGAGGGATGTAATTTTTATTTGCAACATAGATCAGTGTCAGTTATAGTTTAATATATATATATGTATATACATTTTCATTCTCCTCTGCTATCTTTTGCGGTGTACCCCAGAGGTACATTTTAGGCCCTCTTTTATTTTATTGATATATGCTTCCACCAAAGTTTGGATTTTATTTTTGATTCTCCTCTAAAATTTGACAAATTCTGATGTTACTAGTAGTTTTTCTACATCAGATGAATAGCAAAAGTTTTTTTTTAAAAAAAGGTCTCATTTGGAGATCTGGTCACTGCCTTATCATATCTTCACATCTTCACTGCTGTATTTCTCTCCAGATCAAGCAGTAATTCCCCTCTCAATTGATGCTGTAAAACAGTTGTTTTCATACTTGTTTTTAAAATGTACTCTATAATTATATTGACTTGACTAACTTTTCTCCTGTCTTGCCCCCTTTCTGTAGGTAGAGGTCAGTAATGTGCTGGCAGAACCAGCTAGACTTCGTAGCATTGACCAAGTGTGGCTTTACAGTGTCGTTGGATTTGAGAGGACTCGTATATGGACTTATCGCTGCCTCACCTTGCTGTTTGCCGTGCCCTTTGCTCTTCTTTGTGGCATTTTCTTGGCTATTTTGGCTTGTCTACATGTCTGGTAGGCTGGTGCAAGAAAAATGCTCGCTTACAAAGGCATAAATATTACTCTCTGAGCAGTGTTGGGGAGTAGTGAACTACATGTAATGAAACTAGCAGGTTAACTACACTTTGCAGTAACTTGCTGGTAGTTCAACTACATTCAGAGTTGTGTTGTGACTGAAGTTAAATTTTTGCCATCTTTTGTGTAGTTATCTAGTGCAACTACAAATAGTTGCACTAGATAACCCTAACCACATTTTGGATAAGAACTCTGAGATTCTGCTCAAGAAATTCTGCTCTGAGAAGTGGTAGTAAAAGACAGGCCCATGTGGACCAGTGCTGAATTTGTACTATCTAAAAGGTGTAAGTTCAAGACAATTGTAGTTGTTAAGCTTGCACAAGTCAGATGCTGCAAAACTGACAAGTTACAGAAGTTCATATTTTAGACCAGTACTAATGTATGTGTATATATATATGTATATATATACACACACACACACACACACACATATATATATGATGTAGTTTAACTTCTTCAAGTGTGACGTAATCAATGATTTGCAATGCTACATTTTCAAATAGTTTTCCCAACACTGTCCCTGAGACAGTCATATGCTTATTCAGCAAATAACTACAGAAGATAGGCTACACCATGATAGCACAGTTGCCCTACTTTGGCACAGTCATTTGAATCTCTCTCTCCCTCTCTTTATAGGTTTGTGGTGCCTTGCATACAGCTGAGCAACACCTTCCTTCCATGCCTGCGGTCCTTGTGTATGTGTGCTGTGAATGTTTTCATCTCTCCATTTTGTATGTCTCTCGCTCTCTGCTGCAGTCAAATTGCTATTTCATTGTCTAACAAGGACTGGCATCAAATGAGAGGTGTGGCTGTATGAGTGTGAGATTGTATCAAATGAGTGATTGTGGGAGACAGCGGGAAAGAATTGCCTTTTTGTTTTTTGATTGGCACAGCTCTGCAGCCTGTTAATGCAATTTGATATGTTTTCTACAAAAAGCCACTTAACAAAAGGTATTTTTATTATTATTGCCATTATTGTCCTTCATTTTACACTGACTTCAGATGTAATTCTGAGAAGACTGCATCAAGCTTTTAATAAAATAAATGTCAAAAATCCCTTGAGCATGTGTGTGTGTGTGTGTTTTACCAAAGTATGTGAATGGATTTTCCAATCCCAGCCGACATGGGGCGAGAAGCGGGGTACACCCTGGGCAGGACGCCAATCACAGGGCCGACACGCAGACAAACAACCTAGACTAAAGTGTAACTAATTATTACATTTTTAGTTTTTCAGCATAAAATTACTTTGCAGCTTTTACAGTTTTGTCAATTAGTTTAATTGTTGAATCATTTACCACGCAAAAAATGAAACATTTAGTTTTTCCAGCATCCCAGGCTTGAAAATTTTGCTACTTCTTTTGGAATAATGATTTCTGGGAAACTGACAGTTTTTTAAAAACTGCTTTCAAACATTTTATAGATTAACATTAATTAATTCATTATCAACTAATGAATAATCAATTACTCAGCATTTGATGAGGAAAATCAAATCAGTTAGTTGCAACCCTAACAAATTTTATGGTTTTTCTGCAACATCCCAATTTTCTTCTTAATTGGACATCAGTATGTACACTCAGTGGTCAGTTTATTAGGTAGCCTACATCGCTGAGAAAATTGTATCACGTTATTAATACAATTTTATTTTATTCTGTCCACCCTATTTACATTAATGAGACTAGGCTAAATAACTAAAACATGTCTTTGTATGATGCGGTATATACATTTAGACAGCAGCATGGCGTACCTGATAAACTGCCGATTGAGTGCGCAGTGTCAGCTTTGTTCGGTCGTTGCTGTGTAGCTAGTAATCCTGAGGTTTCTTCAGGAACGTGAAGGCATCTCATGTGATGGTTTACTACCCAACATGCACTTCGTGGTCGCCATTTTTCTTGTTGTGATGTGCTGGGAGCTCTGCCTTCAGAGTACTGAAATATTCTGCGTTTTATTTTACAATATCATCCTTGATTTGTTATTTTAATCGTAACGTTTCTTGAAAGTTAGCGTCAAAAACAAGGAAAACAACATGGCTCAGTACAAAGGAGCTGCTAGTGAGGCCGGGAGAGCCATGCAGCTGATGAAAAAACGAGAAAAAGAAAGAGAACAGCTGGAACAGCTGAAACAGAAGATTGCAGAGGTATGTAACTTTTTACCCTAAATTATTACCCCGAAATTATTATTGTATTTTGCCAATTTACAGAAATTAACCCAATATGATATTTATAGCCCTGAGGTCCAGCGACCTGCATGGTCAGAAAGGAGTCACCGTTACAGTATGCATAATATTTTAGGCAATTTGAGGGCAATAGCAGAAACTGTTCATGAGGTAAAGCTTATAACATTGATGTTACAGCCTTGAAAATACTAAAATAACCTTAACTGACCTTTTTCCTGGTCTCTACGTGTCTGTTTTCTCACAGGACAACATGGTCAAGTCCAACATTGATAAGAAGTTCTCAGCTCATTATGATGCTGTAGAGGCAGAGCTGAAGTCCAGCACAGTTGGTGAGTATCTGTGCTGCTGTTGCACTCGGACCCTCCTATAATGAAGAAATCCCCGTGAGACCCACATAGTTCAATATATGACATAATTGTGTCAGAAAGAGTGAAGAATTTCACTTACCATCATGGACAGATTATGAGACAATGGGCCCCTGGGCGGATGTGTAAAAGGCTCAAACCTCTCCCCCACTTGAAGAAGTAGGATTCACATAATGAGTGATTTTGCAGTCAGTTTGTGTCCTCTGTTTTGTTTCTATTTTAGCTGGTTTTGCATCAATTCACATCTCTTTGTAGTCATTTTGCACCTGTTTATACTTGTTGTGTCTCGTTTTGTCATTTGGCATATTTCATTTTGCTGCCTTTGTGGTTTATTCAGTAACTTTTTATTCATTTTGTGTTTCTTTTTAGTTGTTTTGCATTTTTTTTGTTTGTTTTTTGTTTACTTGTTTAGTGACTTTTATTTAGTTGTTTTGGAGTCACTTGATTGATTTTCGAACAGAGGTTAACAGGCCCTTCATGACTCTGGCCTGGGGCCCCTCGGCCTGTGCCTGCTAGGTCAGTTCAGTAATCCATCTTTGGCTGCAATGTTTAGACTTTACAGATTAACACCAGTGTTAGTATTAAAATAAAAACATTATCCATTACTGTGAACCTAATATTATTTGTACAGTTGATAACACCACTGAAGGATAAATCCATGCAGCTCTTGTTTATGAATCTTGTTTGACCAGTTTCATCTCTTTCATGCTTTGATCAGGCCTGGTGACACTGAATGACATGAAGGCCAAGCAGGAGGCACTGGTGAAGGAGAGAGAGAAGCAGCTGGCTAAGAAAGAGCAGTCCAAAGAACTCCAGCTGTGAGTTACTACTTCCACTCTGGCTCACACAGGGGGTTTTGGTTGTTAATGTAGTGCACATGTCTCTGAGGGTTGTAGTGCTGGTTAGCTGTTTGACAGAAGTTCTAAATGTTTAATCAGAAAATTGAAGAACTGCTAAAATTCATTTTAGATTTTTAAGAACAGCGAGAGCTCTCAGAAATGTGAAACGCATCACACATAAAAATTCAAAAATTCAATTCTTGCTGATGACTAAAGTATATGGACCAGGCTGTCCTTTTGTTGCTCATGCTTTGGAATAGGTCCTTTTAAGGGAAGTCTTTGTGCTACAACATATAATAATATTTTAGAACAATGGTTCCTGACCTCGAGGTGGTAGATCCCCGAGGGATATATATTTGTAATTACCTTCAAAAAATATATATACAGATGGGTGACAAAGGATAACCAAACATAAAGTGTCTCAGTCAGGTGTTGGGCCATCATATGTCACCAGAACAGCTTCACTGCTCCTTGGCATTGACTCTCCAGGTCTCTGAGCTCTAACACAGTGCTCCAACATGTCCCACAGGTGGATCTTGTGACTGTGAAGGCCACAGCATATGATTCACATAATTTTCATCAAATCACTGACAGACCCCTTGTGCCCTCTGGTTGGGGTCACTGTCATCCTTGAAGAACTCACTCATTTATTCAGGGTTTTTCTTTTAATTATCCAACCATATGTGATATAATTTATTTCTTTATTTGCAGTTCAAATTAAATCAGTTTTTGTTTGTATAGCTCATTACTGTGTATTGAAAACAGGTTTCAGTAGTTCTGTATTTTTGTCCTGTTTTTCTCCTTGCAGCAAACTTGAGAAGCAGAAAGAAAAAAAGAGGAAGGAGGAACAGAAGAGGAAAATAGCTAGTTTATCATTTAATCCTGAAGATGAGGAAGAGGAGGAAGAGGAAAATGAAGAAGAAGAAGAGCAGGATGGTGAGTATTGATGTTAGGGATGCTACACTGCTGACAGTTAGTTTGAGCTGTATGCTGTACCTGCTCCATTAATTTGATCTGTGTTGTGTGTCACTGATTTTGTCTATTTGTAAAATTGTACAGTGTATATGATTGGTTTGTTATGGCTTCATATGAGTATTAAGGCAGTACATTGGTCTTAAAGAAACATTTTGACATTTTGGGTCATTTTTTGCAAAGAAAGTTGTATGAAGTTTGGTTGCACTGTCTTGTCTATATGATAGATAAGAATATGAATAGCCAGCAGCTGATTAACTTGGGTTAGCATCAAGACTGGGAGCTGGGGGAAAGAGGCTTGTCACTGTGAGGCAAAGATACACACCAGACTCCACAGAGTCTCTGCTCCTGGCCATGAAACAGTCCTGGGCATAACATGCTGTTAAATCATAATGTTCCATTTTTACACTTTGATTTTTGTACCGATTAAACTAACAAAATATAACATATTAATTTGAGAGTTTGCCTAATAGTTGTATGACTTTGTCTCATAGATGCTCCAGTTAAGAAGAAGAAACTGGGGAAAAATCCAGATGTGGACACAAGTTTCCTTCCTGATCGAGACAGAGAGGTGAGGACAATATAAAGGTTACTTGTTGGACGCTTACATGAGACATTTTTATTTTCAGAAGCAAAATTATACTTGCTTATCATTTCTTCAGTGTGTATGACATATTGTTGTTTTTTAATTTATACTTTACAACTCAGTAGTGTTTTGCTGTGCGCCATCAAACTGTAAAGACCAGCAGGATTCAAAGCTCTATTTTACCTGGCAGGCTGCAGAAAATCACAAATTATGCCGTAATTAGGACAAGATGTACAGACTAAACCAGAGATTTACAAAAACGAACATCTACAAAGTACAACACTGAAAATAGGTTCTAAAAATATTTAATAGCTTTGCTCTTAAACACATTTTTCCAAACGAAGTGAATATTTTCCGATTTTTAATACTGAAGCTCTGAAGCCCTAGTATTTTCACACTTCAGGAAACATGGTTATTTATACAATTCTTATTTGTTATGAGTCCAGTCTCTAATACCATGTACGTGTAATATGGTCTTCTAATGTATTCCTTGACATTTTCACCTCACTGACTGTGTCTGCTAATTGTGTGCAGGAGGAGGAAAATCGTCTCCGAGAGGAACTCAGGCAGGAGTGGGAGCTCAAACAGGAGAAGATTAAGAGTGAGTGTCAGAATTATCCCACCCTCCACACACAAGTATTGTGTTATTTAATTAGTAGCCTATCCTTGCTTTAACTTGAATCACAAGGAGACGTTCAGACCATATTGTCTCATATTTGACAAATGTTTCAGCTTTAGAGAATTCTTCCTTTTTTCATCTTACAAACATAAACACACATTCACATTCTCTCTCAGCATTATAATGGTGTGTCTCTGTCTTCAGGTGAGGAGATTGAGATTACATTTAGCTACTGGGATGGCTCTGGGCATCGTAAGACAGTCAAGGTAAAGTATGATGAGCTGCAGTACTTGTTTATGGAGACATGGCAAGTCACACTGGCCTGAAGTGTACTGCTTTTCATTCTGTCTGTGTGTATTTCTCCTGCAGATGAAGAAGGGTAATACCATCCAGAACTTCCTGCAGAGGGCCCTGGAAGTCCTCAGGAAGGACTTCAGTGAGCTCAGGTGAGACATTAAAGACGAGATGACTGTCACCCTAAAATATCACTTTTAATAAATCAGTGAGTAGACTTATTTTCAATTCCCACTGTTAACACTGTGGCGGAAGCTGAGGCAGGTTCACCTTTTTGCCTGATTTTTTTTTTTTCATCTTATGGGTTCACAAGCCATAAACACTTTTCCATACTTTGCATATCACAGTAAACACTGAATCTTGAATTTAAGGATTTTTCATCAGTCTGCAATCACCTTTGATTGCTATTCTAACTTAAACCAGAGAGGTAGAAGCCACTTAGGCACACACACACAAGCACTTATACACATATTTGCAGAGGGGTCCCTGAGGTGCAGTCATTTGTGTAGAGGGAGAACAACAGAGGGCAGAGCGCATAACTATGGGGGGCGCCTGTGCTGATTGTTTGGTTGCCGACATTTGTTCTAACCTTACACACCATCAATTTAAAAAAATTTGATCATTTATTTGTGGGGCCCAGTCCCCACAAGTGACTTCTGGTACCTGCAAAGCAGTGTGCTCCCAGTGTTTCGTCCCCACAAGTAAATGTAAACAAGGCCACACACACCATCCATCCCTGTAAGCCCTTTAAAGTTTAAACAGTGCAATGAGATAACATTAAACATTGCTGATTGCCACAGTGTCTTCTTTGGTGCTACCACTAGTAGCTGCCATAGTTATAAATGTTCACATCTCACAAATAGAAGCTGGAAAACTGAGTCAGTCCTTCACCTGATTTTGAGTGGACCATGACATAATGTTAAAATGGATTTTTATTGAACTTGATTTCTCTGTGCAGGTCTGCTGGAGTAGAGCAGCTCATGTACATCAAAGAGGATCTCATAATCCCACATGTAAGTGCTGCAGGCATAACTAACACACCCATGAGAACCACTGCTGCTCCACTTAAGCCCCTTTTTTACCAACTGGTACCGCCTCGACTCGACTCAACTTGCCTTATTTGTGTTTCTATCAGTCAAACGTTGGAGATAGTACCTGGTACTATTTTTGGTACCACCTCCATCGGGGTTTCAAGTGAGCAGGGGCGATACCAAACGGTGATATTTAAACACTGCAGACTAGTGACTGGTCAGAGAAATCACGTCATCAAGGTGTGAGATGTCCTGGAACAAAGAAAGTGCCATTTTTAAAAGCAACGTTATTTAACACTAACCGCTACTTAACTGTAGTTACTGTACTAACTAAAAACAGCCACATACCGAGAATCAAGAACAGAATACCTTCAAAGTCCTCCATGTTACTGTGTCAGTTGCTGACGACATCACAGCAGTGTAATGCGGTGTCTCTATGACAGCCCGCTACACAGAGGGTGGACCCTCTGCAGTGGAAAACCAAGCACCCAGTATCAAATGTGGGTAGAGTCAAGTTAAGCTGAGCCGGTACCAGGCGATAGAAAAGGGGCTTTAGTTTGGATTTGATCAGTTTCACTGTAAGCCCTTTAAAGTTTAAACAGTGCACTGAATAATGTTCAAGTGTTGTAACAGAGTCAACACTTGTGATGCACATCTTTGTCCTCAATCCAAGAGCCATAAAAATTAGAGCTGCACCAATAGGCCGATGTTGATTTCCAGTTTTTTTTAAGTATGCTGATTTTTATTTTCTTTATTTCCAAGACCTATAATTGACAGCAGACAATTATTTATGTAATTTTTCATTGTGTAAATAAGTTGTATATTTTCCCCATCTGCCTTTTTCTTTTACAAACCTCTAACTAAAACTGAATAATAATGAATATCTATGCTCTCCCAGATGTAAACAGGTGCAGCATGTAATAGAAACGTAATAGAAACAGAAGAGTGTGTTACATCAATCTCACTGAACACACAATTCTTTTTAAAATGTATGTAATTTTTATTTGTGTTTTACCATGGAATGGATACATTCTACATATACATGTGTTTCAAGTGTAGCCAGTAATTCCCTCACTGTGTACTATTTGTTTGTTTGTTTGAGATTTGGATGTAGTTTTCCCTCTTCCAGGGTTTTTCTGTGCAGTTGCTTACACCTAGTGCTTCCAGTGAGTGAACACATGCACAGTACAGGCACAAGTCCGAGGTGCATGTGAGATGCTATGTGCTGCACACGCTATGCTTTCGGTCTGTACCACTGTGTGCACAACGTGGACCATCGTGTATGTAAATTGGACTAGCACAGAATCTGATATCTCAGAGTGATCGGCCGGCCACCAGTCATGACGTTGAAGCTAAAATCTGGCAGTTCTGATGTCCAGCCGATCAATTGGTGCATCTTTAATAAAAATGCTTTACTAGATACATAATTTAGTTACACTAGTAGACTGTACTGTAAATTTGAAATAACTTTATATTTGTGTGGCCTGGTGCGAGTTGTGTGATTATAGTGGTTACTGTCATGTTTTAAACTTGTCCTGTAGCTGTGGCACTTTTCCACTCATTGGATAATTTCATACTTATGTCTCATTCAGCATCACAGTTTTTATGACTTCATTGTGACCAAAGCCAGAGGCAAATCTGGTAAGTGAACTCCAAACAGCTCCCAGAGCACTGATATACACTGTCTTGTTTTGACAGTTGTCTCTTCACATGTACTACCGTGTGTAACTGTGTGTTTCTTGCTTCTTTAACCACAGGTCCTCTGTTCAGCTTTGATGTACATGATGATATTCGGCTGGTGAATGATGCCACTGTAGAGAAAGATGAGGTGAGCATTTACAGCAGGAGATTAAGGGATGAAACCAATTCAAGTATTTGTTTGGTCTGAACTAAATGTCCAAACAATATTTAATATTTGTGTTGGGGGGAAAAAAAGTCATAAGAAGTACTGAGATAAACTGAAATTTTTGTCGGAGAAACTAATGCTGCATTTCTGCTATAGAAACCTAACAGGCCATCTACCCTGTACTTCTCTTAACCATCATCAAGCATAGCCTCTGGGGTTGATGCAGACTGTCCTGCTTCTTTTTTCCTCACTGTATTTTCTCTGTTGGTCTCTGTTTAGAGGAGGGAGGGGCTGCTCCTCTCTCACACACGCAGTCAGCTGTGTGTTTACACACAGTGCTTGTAATGCTAATACTTGTGAGGTTTGAAAAAACAGACATTTAACCAATCACCAGTGACTGCTCTGCGCCTACGCTCCCCCTCCCCCTTGCATTCCTGGTACTTCACTTTAGTACTACCTCCTGAGTGGTGCTGAAATTTAACTCCCAGAGCTCACTTCCAAAGTGGGTGCACTGCAGCGGGAACAAATGCAGAACCTGACACGTTTTGGTAGGTTCCTATAATGGTAAAACACCCTAACTGTGCTGGATCTGGTTTGGGGAAGGATTTTTTTTTTGTTATAGCACCCATAACAATAATAGTTTTCTTTTATTTCAACAGCATTGTTGGCAAAGTTCTTTCAGAGTTCATCATGGACTGATCCAAGATTCATATTTTTCAATGGAATGTCATCGCTCAACCAATTCCAACTGTCCATATTCACATAGAAATTGCTAATGTGACTGTGAGGTTAACTGGTCATAGTGCAAAGAAGAGCACTACATTAAAAACACAACAGGCCATCCCCATTGACCACCTGCACATTAATGATGTTTCTGACAATTTGTAGCAAAAACAAGCAAACAAAAACACTCAATTTGAGAACTGATCATTGTCCCTCATACTTTGCGTGGTCAGTTAGTCTTTTAAAACTTAGTGGATAATAAAGCTACAGTATATAACTTTTTTCCAAATATTTTTGTTATATGAATATGTTTCACAACTTTTCTTAATGTGGAGAGGTGCTGTCGAAGCCTCCCGTGACCCAGACTCACTGAACAGCACTGGCAGCAGTGCAGAGACATTAGCTTCTAAAGGTTTTGAGCGGGACTGATCTCTAACCAATCAGAGGTTTTCAGTTTTTCTGCTTGATCACTAAGTTTGGAGCATAGCAGCTCGTAGTAGAGCAGAGTGGAGCAGGAGAGGGCTGGGCAGAGCAGAATGGGTTGATTTGGAGTTTCAGCCTAGTGCTACCTTAAGTTGCATACTGTAGCTTTAAATTCAAGTATAAAGTCAACAACCTGTTTTTTGAATTGAATGTAGCATATGAAGGATGATCCTGACATTAACCAAGTTGCCATCTTGTGCTTGAAGTCTCATGCAGGTAAAGTGGTGCTGAGGAGCTGGTATGAGAAGAACAAGCACATCTTCCCTGCCAGTCGCTGGGAGCCGTATGATCCTGAGAAGAAATGGGACAAATACACAGTGAGAATCTTTTTGCTCGGTGTCAGCTTGCTGCATTTTATTAGTAAATTACCCAGTTTCCCTTTCACAAATCATTCACCTTTCATCTAATCTTCAGTCTGATCTTTCTGCTAAAATGCTTGATGTGTATTTTTCATAGTCAGTTAATACCCAGTTTTTCAGAGATTGACAAAGTTATGTGTATATTTAGATGCAAGTAAAAACAACTGGACCTGCTGTGTAGTATGCATAAACACTCACTTAACATCATCAGCTCTTCTGAGTTTTCTGTGCATGTGGAGCAGCAGACTGACAGGCAGAGAGGGGAAACAACAACCAGCCGCACTGCCTTTAAGCAGTCATTAAGGGCTGGACATAATTTAGTACTATAATTTATCTTCAAGTGTTCATATTATGATATGTAGTAATCTGTCAATGAGCAGAACATAAATTTGGAATTACAATTTTTTTTAGATATAACATTTATGCTGCTTCATGTATCAGACATTATGATCTACTTGTGGATTTTGTACATGCCTATGCAAGTTCAAATGATCTGGAGCTGGATGGTAACGTGTTTTCAGGATGATTTGTGTGTGAAAAAATTGGCTTTGTAATTTTGAAAGGTGACCCTGGAGAGAATGTAACAATTATGTAGGGCTGGGTTATACTTATGAGAGCACATTTTTTACTACGTAATTATTTTTAATGTGCTGTTACACTGAAGTCATTCTGCCCTCAAAGCCTGTGTTCCCCAACGTGGTGGTGGTGCCAACTTATTCCTGCATGGGCATGAGCTAGTAGCTGTTACATACCACCGGTCCGTCCGGATGACTGTCAAATACAGGCTTTTTACTACAGGCACATTCTTAAGAGCTGCAATCGTTAGGCGTCAGATTATCAGATCAGTGAAGGGTGGAGCAGTGCACGTTGCATTAATCAAAACTTTAAGGTGTTCAGACATGATTTGTTTCATCCTCATGGTCTAACTTGATATTTGGTTTGTTTGTGTTTTTTTAGATCCGGTGAAACTGTCATCTTCGGTCTCTGGAATTGTTGATGCAGACTTTTTGTTTTTAATTTCCATCTTATTTTACTGTATAATAACATTTGCTTCATCATGATCTTGTGAAGGACTGATTCATGATTTTACTTGGTATTTGAGATACTAGTTTTCCCAAATGTATTTGAATGTTTCCTTTGAAAACAACCCCACATTCCTATGTATATATCCCCTAAAACACACTGTAGAATCTGTGCTTAATAAAAAGAACCTGGCTGTAACTCACTGGACAGAGCTTTTGATTACTTTGGCACCAACTCCTGGACACTTGTCTCACTTGTTGAGAAGAAGTTCATCATTGTCTGCACTTTCTCACCTCTCGCTATTAACTAAACTGGATTTGGAGTCAAACCTGACATTTTCTCCTTCAGCGGAACATGATCTCATGTGATAGTGTTGACTGTTAAAGCATGCACAGTCTGCTGTCTTCCACCTGTAGCCTAAAGACACCACTCCTCCATCGTCTTTCTCCCTCCTCTCAGCTTCCTGTCACTCACTCTCACACAGCAGCAAAGACACTTCGACACCAGATTTCAGTGAGGGTGTGTTTGTGTGAGTCTGTGGTATGGTGCTGGCATTTGGACAATGTCAAGTCGACTGTAGCAGCATGTGGAGGGCTGCCCTTGTTTTATACCCGCTCTTGGCACTTTGTCAGCCACTCTGGGCACAGGATGATGTCGCGGCAGCTGCGATTACTCCTCAGAACTGCAGTCTGGACTGTGTCGAACAGGTAAGCTGCAATGTGCACTTACATAAGTTCTGCTTTGTGGAGAGGTTTTGTGCTACACCTCACAGCAGCTACCCTGTCTTCATTATTTCCTTGTTTTGCTTTGTGTCTAACCCAGGAAGACTTTTATGTACTCCAACAACTTAAACTCTAAATAGTACATCTGACGTGGAATATATCGCCAGTGAGGTTCACTCTGCTATTAAACACGCTGTGGCTCCTCCTGCTACATCTGTGTACACTGTATTCATTGGCTGCCAAGTACAGCTGGTATGAGCTGCTGCTCACCCAACAAAACTGGACTTCATGTTCGTGGTTATTGTCTGTGAAAACAGGTTTACCCAGCCAGTGTAGATGGGGCATGCCTGTTTCTAAAACTGTACAGAGATTTCAATGAAGGGAGATCAAATGGGAATGAATAACAAAATTTAATGGGATAAGCAACATACTGTAGATTGTTTGGTGATTAGACTCCATCGATATGAAGTGTCTTCAAGAGGTGTAGGCCCATTTGAAGATGGGTAACAGGACAGAATCCCCTTAAGTTCAGATGGTGGTGGATGAGTAGAGCAAGTGGTTAATGGAAGGCTTGATTGATGTCCCTGGATGTCAGGGAGGTTAAGGCGGTGATGGGGAGGAGGTGGGCTGTGTAGTAATACGCCTGAAAGATAAACATTCAGAATTGCAATGGTATGCAACAACAGGAGGAAAAAGAAGAACTCTCCACATGCTCAACCAACAAATTCTCGAAGAGCAGATTTATTAGACAGCATTTGGGAATAGGTATAATAAATCTATTCCTCGAGAATTTTTGTTGGTTCAGAGTGTGGGCAGTTTCTCTTTTTTTTCCCCTTCCTACGGTTGTTTATGATCCTGCACATGTGCTGAATTTGGGTTGGATTTGCACATGTGCTTGTTTTCCATGTAAAGACCAGCAGCCAGTGATTTATTGTTCAAGGAACACAGACAGAAAAGTCCCAGGTTGGTCGAGGGAAAGTTGACAGCATTACGAAGAAGAATAAATCAACGGTAACGAAAGTGACGCAGAAACAGAATGAGGGGGAAGAGATTTTCCACGTTGAACTTTCCCTGAGGCCTCTTTTGGTTCACATATGGTTTTGCTAGCTGGAGTGTCTGGTGCAATACATGTGACTATAAATTGGGTTTGTTCTTATCATCAAGTCAAATCTAATCTAATCAAATTTTATTTGTATAGCGTCAAATCACAACAAAAGTCATCTCAGGACACTTTACAAAGTAAGGTCTAGACCTTACTGTTATCAATATTATTACATTGGGAAAACCCAACAAATCCCCCTTGAGCAAGCACTTGGCGACAGTGGGGAGGAAAAACTCCCTTTAACGGAAGAAACCTCCGACAGACCC